TAATTTATGATAGAAAAAGGGACAGTTAAGTATTTTTCTCACACTCCCATCTGTTCCTAAACTAAATATTCATTCTAAGAAAATACTAATCTTTGAATGTATTTGTATAAGGCAAGTGACCATTTCTGCTGAAGCTAGGAAGCTGGATATAGAAATATGCTCATTAAGAACTATGCTATGGTTATTATTAAAACACCACAATAGTCCATCGTCTCATGCGTACACAACCTTGCATAACTGGAGTTGTCAGCATTCTCATCGTAAATTCTGCTTTCAAAAGGTTTGTAACTTGCCTGTAAAAAAAAGTTACTATAGCCTGAAATTTGTTGCAAGTTCTCTGCCAAGGAAGAACTATTTTAAGATTAGAAAACTATGCATCCATTTCAGTTGGTGGCTGGTTTGGGGTTTTATCTATACAAGTGGTTTTAAAAGAAAATAAAAAAACCCCACAACTCAGCATCTTTGAAAATCTTCTGGCTAAAAAAAAAAAAAAAAAAAAAAGGAATCAAATTCCTAAAAGTTAACTTCTTTTTTTTTCTTCTTCAAAAAGCTGCAATTGTAAAATATGGCAGATAAGCCTGAAATGTGCAATTATTTGTGCTACTTCACAAAATAGTTGCCACGCTGACACATTACCAACTCCCAGTGTCTCACCAACACCGACTGTAAATAACAACCCTACCCATGCCCAATTAGTCTGCAGCTCAAGACCGTGCCTCTGCTAAAGGACTGCGGATTTTAAATGCAGAATGGACACATGAAGACTGATTTAATCTGGCTGCATGTACAATTCCCCAGAATCTCACCTAGCAATTCCTGTACTGGGCCAAATAACTTACTGAACCAGATCCCTGAAAGGGCATCCAGCCCTCACCCGAAGCTGTGGGGATGTCACATTCCTCCATAATGGGATGTGATAATTGCCCTTCCTTAACAAAAAAAAAAAAAAACAAAAAACAACCCTCTGATTTAACTAATCAGTTTGAATTGTTATCCATAACTTGCAAATATCAAAGCCACTGGTCTTGTAAAAAAAAGGTAACAGGGGAACCCTGGGTGAACTTCTTGCTTTATTTTCCCTACCAAATTGGAAGCAGCATCCTGGTGCTTCTCCACCGCCTCTGCCGTGGGAAGATGATGCTCTGCAAGGTCCCACCAGCCCTGCAACCTCGCACCAGCATGGAGAGGCACCCCAGGATGGGGAGCACGCTGCTCCCCGTGGGACAGGGGACATCCCACCACCTCAGCATTCCTCCCCCACATGCTGCAGCCCTGCCCACTCCCCGGGAGCCCGAGGAGCATCTCCCAAGACCCAACATCCTGATCCAGGCAGGTCACGGCGGCTAATGAAGGATCTCCAAGTGGACTGTGCTAACCGCTGTGACCACAGGTGACATCAACCTTTAAGCACTGCCAACATTTTTACAAAAAGGAAGGTATTGCTCCGGGTACTGCACTGAATGTGTTTATGTTTGTATATTGTTTAGTGCCAGCAAATAGCTGTGACTGAGTTAAAACCCAAATGAGAACTCGTTACTCACTTCAGAGCCCACCATAAGCACACATCACCCATTAAAGAAGGTCTCTTTCCTTCACTGCTGCTTCTAGGGACCTCCCCGATGCACATTTAAGGCCATTTTGAACTACTGTGTTTTTCACAGGACACAGAATTAGGCTGTCCCTTGTGGAAAGCTTAAATTAGTCCTTTGAAATTTGACCTAAATTAAAAGAACTGAAACACATTGTTACTGCACCAGGCGAGGGCTCCGAGTGGGTGCTCCAAGGACAGCACCAAGGCACTGCATGTGGGGAAGAGACTAAATTAGCTACCCAGCAGAACGATAACACACAGCTTGGGCAAGGGAAGGTCAAGGGAGAGCTTGCTATTTATCAAATATATGTCTAAACTAATTATTCAGATCACAAAGTAACCCTTCAACCTATGTGTGCGGTCAGAGCCCTTTTGAAATGTTGGCTATCATCAAAGGCCTTCATAGCCTGGGTACACAGAAAGAGAATGGCTCCTTTGTACACGCTGGGGTGGGCTTATTTCTAAGTGTTCAAAAGCAGAAAGTCTTTATATTCCCTCGGATAAAAAACATATATGTAAACACTTGATGCAAGATATAATTCGATAGTTGACAGTCCCCAAACGAACTCCTACAGGTCCTGTTTCTCCTCACGCTGCTTAACAGCCTCAGATTTTACCATCACTGCTAAGGAAGAAAGCACCACAACCAGTAACAACCATCCTCAGGATCCAGCCCTTAGCGAGCACCCATGATATCAACATTGACAATATAATTTACAATGGCTCGAGATACCATCTTCAGCGTACATACTTGCATATGTACCAGAGTAATACCTAATGGTCACAGATGAGATTCAGAGCTCGACGAGTCCAGCATTTTATGAAAGCACCTGAGAGAAGCGTGCTACCAAAGAGATCAGATTGACCGCGGATAACCAGAAGTAAAGTACCTTGACGCATGACGTCTTGCACGTACCCTGCCCGTACCCATGCAGTTGATTACCCCATTAGATAAATACTGCTTGTACTAAAGTTCAGACTTAACCAGATACTCTGAAGAAAAGGGTTGCAAATGTCCCTAAAGTTACGTTTAGCTGAGACAAGAGTATATTCTCTATTACAACCAAAGGAACGAAAAGCCACAATCTCAATTCCTGTTAATGTTGCATACGGCTTTTTGAATATTCTGAGTCACTAAGACAATAAATAGTAACAATAAAAGCACCTAACATCAAAAAAAGACAAAATTTAGGGCATGTCCGTGAAGGAAGACTAAGGAACAGATCAACACGTGTCACCAAAGGTCATGGCCCTGTCGACCTTCTCAGCTGGTATGAAATGTCATAGCTCTAATGACTGCACAGTCAGCAACCCTACCAAAAATTTACATTATTAGAGCACCTGACCCCCCAAATTAGCTGTGGCTAAAATGTTTGGCATTTACTAAATTAAAAAAGAAGTCTGCTTTGTCTTTGAAGAGATTTTTTTGAAGGGTTTTTTATTTTGTTTTCGGCTTGGAGAGCTTGTGGGTGGCAGTGATGGAACCCAGAGAAGGTGATTGTGTAAAAAATTGGGTTTTTTTTTAAAGGGGTTTAACGAAGTACATAAAGGAGGTTTTATTTCCCAAATCTCAGATATAAATCCCACACAATTCCCTGTATTCTGCAGCATAAAAGCTCTTATTATACCATTAACTTAGAAGTGTTGTTTTTTTTTTTTTTTCCTCTCGTTTCTGGTAATGATTCGGGTTCTCACATCTAAAATTGTTTCATGTCAGTAACATTCCTGCCCAGGGAAGAAGTTTTAAATCCTTTTTAACAATTTACTCTTTGATAAAACCCAGATTCCACCCCCTGGATATTCACTGTGGAAGAAACATATTTTTAAACTGTGCTTTTTAAAATAATAAAAGCTATTCTTTCCCTGAAAAGCCAAAAAATTATCAGGCATCATTCAAAAAAATATTACTCTTCTCCCTGTAAAATACTCCACCGATCTGCAATCACACT